TGTCTCGTCGCTCCGGCCGGACACGGCATCAACACAGTATGGTGAGGGGCGTAACATTTCCGTCTCACGTTTGAGGTATTCGGCCAATCACAACGCATTGGATAGCTGGCCAATCACAGCACCCCTCGCTTTTTCAGACCGATGAGCTTTGTAAAAATCGACGCGTTTCAGAAGGCGGGGCATACAGGAGAAACAATAATGTACAGTATGTGGAAAATAATGTGTTTTTTTTACTTTAAACCGCATAAACACATTTCATTACACCAAATACACAAAATAATGTTCTTTTTAGCAGCATCATATGACCCCTTTAACTGGAGTCGTGTGGATTATTGTGATGTTTTCATCAGCTGTTTGGACTCTTATTCTTACGGCACCCATCTGTGATGTAATGCCACATTTCTCCAAATCTGTTCCAATGAAGAAACAAACTCATCTACATCTTGGAATGCCTGAATGATGCCTGAGCTATTCTATGTTTGGTTGCTTGCTTAATTTTTTTAAGTATAATCAAATTGGCTGCGCAAGTAATTCCAACTTTATAGTAGACTTTAAAAATTGAGTTGAATCTCATATATGTAAAAAATTTTTATTGAAATTGTTTAAATTATTTTGAGATACTGATAATATTTTTTACAGTGATGAGTTTCGAACAATGTGTGGGTGAGTAAACAATGACAAATGTACATTTTTGTGTGAACACTGGTATATCCACTGTAAACTACTTATGATCATATCTTATGATTTCTTATTAGGGAAATTGATACTCTAATTGTTACTCTGCAGTAATGGGTGAGTGTCTGATTCCTGTTTCTTTTTTAGTGAAATACTGAAATGCATGAGGAATATTAATCACTGCTTGATTCTGCACCAGGGCTTGGTATCAGGATAAAGTCTTTGTGAGGGCCCCGGGTCATTGCACAACCTGATGCTTCACAAAAAAAGTGAAGGAAGAAGGAGGAGGAGTATGGCAACTGTCATCACAAACAAGAAACAGCTGTCTCATTTGTGTAACTTGTTTTCTTTTAATATGAGAAGTATGTTGGTAGAGATCTTTGAGGTTTGAGGAAGGCCTGGGAGGAGAGAGAAGCTTTCCGTTTCACTCCTGGGATCATTCTTCCAGAACTTTGGTGAACTTATGCCTTTCTCTGCAGACACATCCACTCCTCTTGTCCTCTGAGGTGAGTTTAGGGACTACAGAGTGAAATATTATTGGTACTCAGAATGAAACTTAACCCCCTTAAAATCCCCGGCCACCCCACTGGCCCCCCAACATATAATAATATCAATAATAATAATTAAACATGGACATCTCCGAAACACTACCTTAAAATATGAGATAAACTTGATAAACTTGCATAATGTGTAGAATCAGGGTTGCCATGTCTGTGGTTTTCACACGGAATTTTATTCTGTTTATTCTGTTGCCACGGGTTGTTTTTTTTTAGTTCTCGGGTTGAAGCAAACCCCTCACACTATTAGTATTTCCTATTCTAGCATTCGTGAGAGGAGCAACAATTTAAGATAGGGGTCACCTATCTAATGCTGGGTACACACTAAAAGATTTTTAAAATCTTATAAGATCTTCAAAATGTG